AAAAAAATAGTGGGTCAATTATTCGAACATGTACCCTAAGGGTATATAGCGGCCCCACATATGAATACAACCCAAGAAACATAATGTTACAAAAGATAAATTTATCTTTATAACATAATGTGCTCGTGTGGGTAAAACAAACCACACCGCGGCCCATTTTCAACGTGTTCATTTTTTCCATTTAGAAATTTCAAAAAACATGTAAATTATAGTCGTGTGTTATAAAAAGTACATTTGAAAAGTTGTATAATTTCATAAAGTATCTACACATAAAAATAATAATTTTATAATTCTAAAGTGCTCTCATTTTTAATAAAATATTAAAGTAATTTTAGAAATTTTCATATATTTAAATAAATTATTGTATTTGTTTCAAATTTTCCATGTTTTTTAATAAAATAGTCATGTAGTACATAAAAGTGTTCATGCTTTAAAAAAATTGTGTTGTTTTAAAAAGCTTATATAGTATATAAAAGTTTGTGTGTGCTAGTGCGCCCTCAGATTGCAGATCGTTACATGAATAATATTTGATTCATACAATTTGTTACAATTTATAAATATTTTAAATTGTATGATTATGTTTTAAAATAACACTTGGATTCTTTTTAAAATGACACCTAAAATTTCAAACTCTTTTGAAATTATGTTTGTTATACAGTCATAAATATTAATTTATGTTGTTCCACCTAGTGTATATAAAGGGTGTCAATCCCTCCAAACATCAAGTGTTTGGTTTGTAGTCGATTGGCTAGCCATACATGCATCGTAACAGCAGTACCCATGTTCAAACTCCCTACAGGCCAGTTGTAATTTTTGTTCTACAAATGTCTGTTGTTTCTCTCCAAGTCCTATTTGTAAGAAAAATAATAATTTCTGGGGCTTCCTGAAAAACTAGGCCACACGCCCACTTTCCTGCCATCCAGTCACTGACAGCGGGCCGCATGCCATGTTGGAACGTCTCGTCAGCGTCATGAATGTATACATATGAGATTTGAACTGTATTTGCACATACATGCCAAGTTATAAAATCAGTTCTATGTATTTTTCAAGTTCAGACACTAAGTGAACATCCATAGCAAGTTCAAGCACCCTGGGTGTATTTACCTCGCTATCAATCTCTTTCTGGCCGAGTTGTGACCACGTCGCTGCATGCAGGCATGATGAACTGGACATCGGATTCGGTGTGGATCTCGTCGTCTTCTCAGTAGGGTAAGCCGGCGTTCGGCCCGAGCCCCTGTTGTACTTGTATCATCTCCATTCCGGCAGCGGCGAACTCCGGCGGTGGCGGCATGGCCATCAACATCTGCTGCATCTCCATCTCATTCCTAGAGTTCGCGCCGCAGCTAGCGAACTCAAAGCCACCACCGCCTGCGAGCTCCTGCTGCGGCGGGGGCGCCAGGAGCATGCGGCTGGCGCTCCTGGCGCGGCCGACGTCCAGCGCCTCCTGGAGCACCTGGTTGGCGCGCGCGGAGACGGCGCCCTGCACGTCCACCAGCGCGGCGGCGAAGGCCATCAGCTCCTCCTCCCCGAGGTCGCGCAGGTAGGCGTCGAGCCACGCCGCCGCCGGGCTCCCCGTGGCGCGCTCCTTCTCCATGGCCTCGTCCGCGCGCTCCTTCCGCGCCTTCTCCGACTCCAGCTGCTCGCGCAGCTGGCCGTACTGCCGGTTCAGCTCCGCCAGGTTGCGGTCGCCGGCGGCACCAAGGCCCGCCGCCGGCCCGACCTGCGCCGCGGCGGAGGGGATGAAGCGGTCGAGGATGGCCTCGACGGAGGGGTGGCCGAAGGAGAAGGCCTTGCCGGCCGGGGAGAAGACGACGGCGGCCACCTCGGCGCCGCAGAGCACGGCCAGCTCGCTCACCTTCTTGAACAGCCCCGCCCGGCGCTTGGAGAAGCAGACCTGGGGCGCCTCCTCGCTCTCGATCCGCCGGATCTCGATCTTCTGCCGCCCCATGCTAAGCTTCCGCTTCGGCGCCATCGACATCTAAAACCTCGCTCAGAGAGTGTTTCTTTTCTTTGTAGAGGAGGTCTGTTTTCTCTACGGCTCGGCTGCTCGTGTTTATATACTTGTGCTCGCGCGTGTGCTTAGTTGGCCTGTAGCCATGCACATAAATAGATTCCCTAGGAGTATATATGCCAACTCATCCCGGGCAAGGCATTTTTAATTTCTTAGGGCATCTCCACCCGTTGGCTCCCAGGAGGGGCAAAAAATCGCCCCCTGAGGACGCACCGGCGCTAAACCACGCACTGGGGCGTGATGCCCCCAGTCGCGGCGCCCACGGTTAGTCAAAAAAGTCAAATACGACGCAAAAATGACTCAAATTTAACGCAAATATCGACGAGTTCGTTCAAACTTAAACATATTTTACCAAAAAAGAAAAAAACTACCGCGGGCTACCCCCGCCGTCTCCCTCGCCGACCGCCCACGCGGTTCTACATGCCGAGGAGGCTGTAGAACCGCGTGTAGTCACCGCTGTCGTCGCCATCGTCGTCGTCGTCGTCGCCGCCCCCGCCCACGCCTCCGCCGTCCCTGCTGCATCCCTCCCCCGGTTGGCGCGGCGGGTTGGACGGTCCGGGGGCGTCGTCGTCGTCGTCGTCGCTGTCGAGGACCACGACGTCGTGCTCGTCCTTGCGCCCACGCTTGCGGGCGGCGATCTCCTCCAGGGCCCGGCGCTGCCCACCGCATGGCGTCCTCCTCGTCGTCGTCGCTGTCGAGGACCACGACGTCGCGGAGGTAGTCGTCCCGCGCCCACCGCATGGCGTCCTCGTCGGAGAAGCCGCACCGGGCTATCTCCTCATACTCCGCGGGGAGGCCGGGCTCCGGCTTGGGCTCGACGAGGACGAAGCGGCCGGTGGGTGGAGAGGCGTTGGCGCCGATGCGGACGCCGGAGCTGCGGGTCCGTGCGCTGACCGGCGTGCCCTGGGGCTCCGGCTTGACGGGGCGGAGGCAGGGCGAGCCGCCAGACAAGGAGGAGGACCCCCCGGTCTCCATGCGCCTCGGGGTCCAGGAGCTTCCCCGACGGCGTGAGAAGGAAGGGGGAGCGGGGTACTCGAGGCGCGGCGTGTTACCGCCCTCGATGTACTCGAGGACGGCCTCCAACGTGCGCCCGGGCACGCCCCACCACCGACGCCGGCCGGCGGCGTTGAGCCTGCCGGAGGGCACGACGCCGTTGGTGGCCTCGAGCTGCTGGGCGTGACGGCGGCGGAAGTAAGGCTCCCAGAGCGGGCTGTCGGGGACGTACCGTGGCCCCTCCCTCGCCGCACGCAGCAGGTTCGAGCGGATGCGTGCGATCTCAGCACGCCGTGCCGCGCCGGTGGGTACCGGGGGCACCGGCACACCGCCGCGCTGATCCTCCACGCCCCAGGCACCCGCATGTCCGGTGGGACCGAATACTCGGCCTCGTAAAGGAGGCGAGCCTCGTCTTCATGAAGATGGCGGCACCCGAAGCCGTTCGCCGCCGCGCCGTCGCCTGGGAAGCGCTCGGCCATGGGTGTGAACTGGAGACGGCGAACGAGAGGAGAGGAGAGGAGAGGGAGGAACGGCGACGGCGGGAGAGTGTGAGTCGCCGAGTGCGCCGGGGCGCGTCATATATAGGCTAGGCGCGCGTGCCACCGTGTGTACGCGTGGCGGGCGAGGGAGGGCGAGGGGCGCGCGTCGTCCGGTCTTCACTGCACTGCCCGTGAGGCATCAATGGTGCAGGCTGACCGGCGCGGCAGTGCGCGGTAGCTTTGGCATTGATTCGCCGTGGGAAACGAGGCGATGAGGACGACAAAGGGCCGAGAAGAGAGCCGTGTCGCTGACGCGGCAGGCCCACGGCTTTTTCGCGCCAAAACAGTTCGCCCGGCGCCCCCGGGCGCCCCCAGCGCGCTGGGTTCGGGCTGGGTCCGCCAGCGCTGTTTTCGGCCCAAGCCGGCGAAAATCGGGCTCCTGGGAGCGCGACTGGGCCGTTTTTTCGGCGCCGGCGAAAAAAAACGCCTGGGGAGACCTTCCTGGGACGCGGCTGGAGATGCCCTTATTACCCACCACTGCTCATGAGTTGTCACTCATATGACAAGATCTCAACAGGCTTCAATACTTCAAAATTGGACGAATTTTGAATATTATGTAAATCTGGGTCGGCACCAAGGGTTTTGGATTCCTGACGCAAAATAAAATCTGGGGTGTTTTGGCGGTGATCAGAAAATACTGGGCAGTTACCAGACGATTTTCATGAGTGACTTTTGCCACCTTAAAAATCATTCAAACCAGAGTCTAAATTTAATCAAATTCAAAAAATGGGATTTTCCGCTTGGTGGTGATTTCTCGTGGGTAACCGAATTTTCTGCCTGGTAACATAAACCCTGCTTGACATGAACATATTTCTAACCTCAGAATTCCGGGGCAGATATTTTTTATTTTTTCATGGTAGATTTAAATTAATTTTCAAACCAAATTTTACTGGTGTACAGTAGGAGAGGTTAACAACTGATCAGTCCTTTCTTAACACAAGTACAATTACAGATGCCTACATACACACATATATATACTCACCTCTATGAACGCACGCACATACATATTAGTTAGTCAAACACATGAGTCTCACCTCACGCATAGGTAGCTTTCTAGCGGATTAACAACAATAGGGTGGTAATTATGATAGAGCTAATTGGGTAAATGGTTATCATCTCATCAAGCTCTTCCTGGAATAGTACTCGCAAAAGAAAAGAAAAATCTTCATGGAATGGGCACCTCACGAAACATCTGTTTTAGGAGAGGCTCTAGATTTTATCAACGAAGACAATTTTTGTGAGGGGAGGAGATTATATCTTCAGAACGAACAACGCCTGCGGTGGTTGCTCTAGCACTCAACTATGTGCGCGGAGCATAAGCAAAAATTACACCAAAGATAAATAGATGGCCGGCGTTCCTAGCAGGCCAACTAATCCTAAATGTTGATGCTTCATTCACAGTAGGTGATTATACAAGGTTCTGTGGGGCTATCATTCGTGATCACCGGGGATCTTTCATGTCGGCGTTCATGGCAAGATTAGAACATGTAGCTGATGTTTTCACGGCAGAAGCGGCAGCTTTACTTGAAGGACTGAAGCTAGCAAGAGATACGGGATGCCATTATTTGGTGGTGAGATCGGATAATATCACAGTGGTGGATACACTCAGGCTCAATGAAGGTCACTCTATGGTGGCAGCGCCCGTCTTTGATGAATGTCGTAGTTATCTAGAACATTTCGGCATATTTACTATTGAGCATTGTATTGGAGAGTCAATTTTCGTAGCTCATGAGCTAGCTAGATGGGGACGTGTTAATAATCCAGCTCGTTGGGTTGATGCCCCGCCTGATTTCATTGTAAATCTACTGGCAGACGATGTTTCTATCCTTTGATTAATAAAGTAAGCTTTCCCGTAAAAAGAAAGATCACTCCCATCATCCTAGGTTGCAACAAGTGGCACACTGCATGTGCGCCACTTGTCGCAACCTAGGAGTTTTCCCATTCTCTTTTTTACATCCGTTTATTCAAAATGTTTTATCTCTTAAACCGTGCGTCCAAATCTTGAACAATTTTCACCGTTAGATTCCTCATGTCGAGCTCTTCAAAACTAGATCTCATGTTGATATGTTTTGATAAACTTTTTTTTCACAAAAAAACGGACGAAAAAACCGAACCGGGAACACAAGTTTTTCCCTTTTCGAAAGAGGCACGCCCATGCCTCTCACGAAATCACAACCGTGCCTTGCGCGGAAGGAAGGAAAAACAGAAAACACGTTTTTTCGTTTCCGAGAGGCACGACCGTAACTCTCGCGAAAGCACAATGTGCCTCTCGCGCAAGCAATATCGTGCCTCTCCAGAAAAAAAATTTAATAAATGTGTTTTTTACATTTTCGAGAGGCACGGTCGTGCCTCGCGCGAAAGCACAACCGTGCCTCTCACGGAAGAATAAAAAAACAGAAAACATGTTTTTTTCCTGTTTCTGAAAGGCACGGCCGTGACTCTCGGGAAAGCACAACCGTGCCTCTCGCGGAAGCAAAAACATGCCTCTTGCGGAAGGAAAAAAACAGAAAACACATTTTTTTTCATTTATGAGAGGCACGACCGTGACTCTGGCGAAAGCAAAAACCGTTCCTCTCGCGAAAGCAAAACCGTGATCTCGTGAAAAAAAAGTGTTTTTTCGCGCAATTTTTTTATTCAAAAGCTAAGGAAGACCCGTGAAAAACCGAAACATCGAAAAAACCAGGAAAACCCGTTTTAAAAACCGAAAACGCGTGCGAAAAAAATTCGAAGGAAGCGCCCAGAGTGCGACATGTGGCGGGCAGCTGAGAGCGCGCCAAGTGGCGCTGATCGTTGTGAGGCTCCTAAAGGAGCACTCGTCAACTAGTTGCTTCCATCTCACCGTCTACAAATCTCACCCTAAGCCTCCATATATATAAGCACCGAAGATGCGATCTCTACTCTCACAACCATAAATTCCCAAATTCCTCCGCCTCCTACACTGGCAGCGGCGGCACACATACTTAACCCTCCCCTCGATGCATCTCCCAGGTGAGATGGTCGTGGTCGACCTCCTCCCGTGCATGGCTGTGCAAGGGTGTTCGAGCTCCTCGGGTCAGACTCGGGCTTGTACTTAGTACATTGTTAGGGCTTCGAGCTTTGGGATGGGCTCGGGCTAGGTTATTGAAGGCCAGGCTTTTGTAAGCCCAGCCTAAAAAATGCCTAGGTCTAGCACCTACTGTGGTAAATATTAACAAAATAAAATTGTTGGAAGGATATTTACATAATAGGGTGTTTCGCAAGCACAAATGGATAAAGAGAGAGAATTACAGGAATCTGCTAGATGGAAATGTAATCATTAAGGTGTTGTGGCATCCTATATACCCACGGTCGGTCCTGAGACTTCGGGGGCCCGGGGCGAAACTAAATCTTGGGGCCCTTAGAAATTTTCTTCTACCATTCGTCAATGCACAATCATTTAAACATTGTCCTGCTGGTTATGCGACGGTGAAATTATATGTTGCGCTGAGCTGCGCAAGCAAGCAAGACAACAAAGTTGCAGTGGTAGCGGTCTCAAGGAGATTCAGACAATGGAAGCATTGGTTGTCACAAGAAGCGCTTTTGATGGCGATTGCTCGTTCGTGAAGCGAAAATCGCTAGAGCTGTATCTACGTCTTCAATACCCTCTATGATGGTTCATGGTGCCATTATGGGGAGACCTTGGAGGAGATCAGTGGCGGAGCTACGATAGAAAACAAGGGCGGGCCGGTACAATGGAAGACCCATAATTTTAACACGTAGCTCCGCCAGTGGAGGAGATTATGGCGGCAAACAACGAGTTCGAAGATATCCTTTTTCTCTGTGAGAGAAGACCTTCTAACTAAGATGCACACATCTTAGCGCGCCGAGAGATGAAGTTGGTCATCGTGTGTGATTGACGGTTTCGCCTAGTGTCCTTTGTATCACACACACTTACTTAAATAAAGCGGACATGATTCTAAAAAAATCATGTCTATCTCATCCAACTTCGTCAAATAAGATGATACAAAACCGAAGTATGTATATGCAAGTCAATTTTAGTAAGTACTCTCCCTGTATTTCTTTACAGTGGCAGTACTAGATATTAGCAGTACTATAATTTTGCCATCCGTGATCGAGTGATCACCAACTCTTGGCACTGTTTCCCTAGCATGAATTTGTGAAATACATAAATAGAATCACATATCAGACCACATATGAGACCAAACGAATACGTAACTGTACCATGCATACACACCTGAAGATGATTATATGTTTCTTGAGATGTAGATCGTGAGGCCCTTGACTCCCATAATCCTAATGATAATATTTGCCTGTTCGAAGTTTCAAATTATAGTGAGGCCCTTGACTCCCATGAATTAACGGAAAACGCAACAAATTATCAACATCTAGACTGAAACAAGCATGCATGGATCAATCTCCCCAATGTCTGGATTACAACCTGCTCCACAGCACGGACGAATCGGTCCTAGAGCTCAACAGTCCACCGGAGGCAGGGCACGGGGTCGATGGTCAGGACGACCCGGACGAGGCGCGGAATCGCCGGCTTGCGATTCACGATCGGGGCAAAAAGGGATCTGCCGAGATCATGGCGAACCAGATCCGGAAGAAAACGCGACGACGTGGCCATGGATTCGGGGGCCCGGGGCGGCCGGCCGGCCCTGATATACCCCAAAAGCAAGAGATAAGCCTTAGGGCATCTCAAACACCGATCACCAAATTTATGTCCTCAAATGTTCTTGCCCGCCGGCCGGAGGCCATCCAAC